AAGCATATCAAGTACTAATATTGACTCTTGCGCCTTTAATAAATATATAGATGTTTTCAATATCCATCGTTCTTCATTTAATGTATATAATGGTCATATATGTAGTCTATATCTAGTGTGATGTATAGTCTCGACAGAAGAATGTTGGAACAATTACGAGTATTGAAATAAAATATTGGCATGTCTAGATATATGATATTCGAATATTTTAGATTCTATGGAGATAGTAAAATTTTTTTATGAAAATCATAAATCTGTCTTTTCACCTTTACAAGCTCGACAAAGTTCTAGTGATGCAAATGTTTACATCTAAGAGTAAGAGTCTCATCATGAAACATATGTTGTTGCATTTATTAGTCTAAAATATTTATTTTAATTATTATCAAATCTTCTTGTAAGCTTTCTTTAAGTGATAAAAAATCAAAAATATTCATTTTTACTTTCAGTAGGATGCATTGTGCATTTGAAGTAAGCAGTAGTAGTGTCAGTACAATTAAACAAAATACTTCTTTGTGGGATCGACACTTTATTCTGATTTTTTATTACTTAATCGACGCATATACTTGTGTATTTTAGTAGCGTTTCATTATTTTTATATCGAAGAAAACTTAAGTATATTAACACATCAATTGAAAGCAAGCACCAATTCAATTCGAGCTCCCCATTAGAGATCGCTTGGAAACATTGTCATTTGCCTGTTGTAAGCTAAAAAAAATCATCTTTATTCCTAAATAATACTAATTGCATGTCTACATTTGATATTTTAGTTGAATCAGTTATGAGTATCTATGCAAAGATATAACCTTAATTTTATTTCAAGATTTATTAACCTATTTTCTATATATTAATATTGAGGGTTCAGATAATAACTTACTGCATGTAAGTGCCAATAAAGTTGTAGCTCCCACTTATCATCAATAATATTCTAAATTTGTTTGTAGTTATTTTCTTCTCCTCCTAAGTTATTGATAAACATTTCTTTTAATTTTTAAAATTGCGTAATTGTGTATTTAAAAGCCTCAAAATAAAAACAAAATTTACGTAAAGTGATAATAAATGTCAAAAGTGATATTTTATATAATACCTAAATAATATGTTAAATGATGATATATTAACTTCCTATTGAATTATGAATTAACAAATTGACATACATATGAAACAAAAAATTACACAAGATATAAAGTGACAAGTGATAAACTCCGTGAAATAGACCTACAATCGAAATATTATAAGAGAAAATAATATTAAATATAGAAATTGTATAAAAGTATCATATAACATCAATTTCAACTTAAAATTTCTTTTTTCTCAATTATCTAATCTTTTACATTTGAATTCATAATGAAAACTAAAATAATTGCTAACAACTTAGAAATCATCTGCACTATCATCACTAAGGTGGTCTTTATCTGAGTTGTCTCTATAACAAATTGGTGTATCCCATGCCTCATTCGGTAGAGTCGAATGCCTTCCAATATGTTTCTTTTTAATTTATTTCAATCATATTCATCTTTTAGAAATATTTTCATCAACATAAACATGAGGTGGTGGTGTGCAGCTTTCAAGCGATTGTCAGTGATGGCTATGACGATGTTAGCTGCGGCAAAGGCCGTGGGCTGGAGGTAGAGGCAATCGAGAGGAAGTTGTTGCACTCAAATGTGCTTGAAGTCATGATTTATTTTAGTTTTAACAAAAATATATATATACAAATAGGGTGAGGCGTAAGCCTCATGCTAGCGAGGCGTGCCTCAAGACAAGCCTCAGCCAAGCTAACGCGCAAGCCTCATAAAAAAGCTGGAGGCGTAAGCCTCATTTTACTAGAATTGCGTTGAGGCGGGCCGCAAGACGAGCCTCATATTGCGCAATTTTAAACAATGATTTCTTTTGCTTCATCTATAATATTGTATATGAAGCCCATAACAGGCGGCTTCTTCTCAGCATCCACCATTTTTAGAACCTGTATTAGTGGCTTAGTGGATGTGATAACATACATCTGCCAATTCTATCATTTAGAATAATCTTTTTGACACCTTTTCCCTTAGATTTTTTTGCCCAAACATAACTCAACCACTATGTAGATGTGAACATGGACTCTAAAAGTTATTTAGCCTCCAACATACTCTACAAAGTTAAATAAGCTATAATAAATTTGATTGTTACATATCTAAGTAATTTTTTTTCTTTGAGAATTTTCTCATAAGCACTAAAACTCAAGAATAATTATAAATAAATTTACTTATTTTTTTTAGTTTTTGACAATGTATTCTTGTACTACGGTAGCTCCCTAAGCTTCTCAAAGATGAGATGTATGTAATATGTGGCACATCGAGTCCAATATAAATATTTTCTCTTTTTCACAAGTTTGTCCCTGCTGACCTATAAACATTGGCATTATTTATTACTGCTTGAGCTACCAAGTGCTCTCCAATCTCCTCAACAACACTATCAAGTAATCCAAAAAGAAATTGAGCATCTTTCACCTGATCAGATGCCTCAATTGATTTTAAAAATACAATGTCATAGGTTATTGATTAGTATGTTTATTAGACTTATGCTATTCACATCTAACCATTTATCAAACATGATTGTAACACCTGTTTGGGCCCAAATCTTTTTAATTTCCTCAATACTTCTATCAGTATTACTCTGCTCCTTCAAAATGTCTATCCTTAAATTATATATGAATGGAGGTTTTAACCCTCTCTCATATGCTTCAATTGAACCCTTCATATTGTAGTAAGAAGGGGAGGTTGCAACATTAAATGTGATAGCATTCTCATGGAAAATTCTGCTTATATCCATATATAATCGCATTCGTGCCTCCCTAGCATTCTCTGGGGTTAGCTTTTGTGCGGTAGAAGACCTGCATTATTTTTTATCCTCTGATGTTTGTGTCATGTAATGATCCATGGGACCCCTTGCATACCTAAAGGATTGCAATGATGAAGATGAATCTCAACTGCTGCCTTCGCTCCTGTAGTAGAAGCCCGCATCAAAACTATCATTAATTTGTCTTTGTGCGAGGTGCTTTGACATTATTGACTTATTCATGCATGTTTTGATCTCTTCTCATAATGTATCAGACACTTTGGCATATTGTGTGACATTCTTGGGTGATCCGGATAAGTGCTCCTTCATCCTAGTCATACTACCTTTGATCACTTTCTCGTAGTAGCTACATTTCAAATACACGTACAACTTGTAGTTGCCTCTCACATGGGTCTTTCAACTATACTCGACGTGGTTTTGTCTTTTGCTTCTGACCATCCTCTACAAAAACCTTGCAAGAAGTTAAAAACATAAAAAGTAAAAGACAGTCACCATTTAGTATTACATTATTTAATATAGCATTCAATCAAATATGCTGCACCTGAAAGATAATCCTATTATCTCTGTAATAATATTATAAGATAACACTCTTCTTAGTATAGCATTATGTCAAACAACCCTTTTTAAATATATTTCTTGATTTGCTCTAATGAAAACATCCAAAACTCCATTAAGTCACCTTCCACATGAACATGTATAAAAAATCAAGAGTTTAGCTTTGGTAGGCCCTAATTAGATCATGAATGTAATCCATCAAAAATCTAAATCACTTATTGACCAAGCCTAATTTTTAAAATCATTTATAATATGATGGACTGGATCCAAATTAACTTCATTTGAATCAATTAAAATTAATCTAAATATTAAACTATATTTACATATACAAAATAAATATGACCCATTATATTTAATATAAAATCTAAACTACACACCAACTACAAAATATCTCATCCTCCTTTCTAATTACTGAACCACAGTTGTTCGATCCGAAATCTCAAACCTCAACAATTAGCTTCCCAATCAGATATTAACAACAAATATAAACCCACAAGCTCCACGTATTTAGTTATTACATCGTGAAAGCAATTAAACTCGAACAACAGGGATAGCTGAGCTGAAGGAGGCAAAGAAGCTACTAGATCAAGCAGGCAAAGTCGAATACATTCGAAGGTGAATGTCTTCGAGCAGCGACAACGCATGTGAAAAGGGAGAAAGATGGCTACTGTTGTAGCGAGCAAAGCTCCCGTCATTACTTCTAATACAATAGGAATGGCGTTGTCAAACTGTCTTGATGTGCAATCTGATAGGAAGGGTGTCATCGAAGAAGGTGAAGAAGCTTTCAGTGATTGTTCAAAACTCTACCAGTAGGCGAAGTAGAACAGCAGGGATGGAATGCCGAAGTTCCCTAGGGTACAAGTTGGTAAAGTTATAAAAACCTTTGCTTTCAATTTTGACTTAGGTTTAAGATTAAAAAAAATGATTTAAAAAGAAGTGTTATTTGAGACGGACACCTCACAAAAAAGAGGAGAGGCGTGTTGGTTTGTATGCCTCACAAACAAAGATCGATGTGTGCGCCTCGAGGCATTTCTTTGAGAAATTATGCTGAGGCGCGGCACTTATTGCGCAATTTTAAAAAATGTATTCTTTGGTGGCATTATTTTAATAAAGAATTGATTACTTTTATTTGCCGACTTTTTTTTTTTAACGCAGTTAATTGAGATCGGTGAAACTTGGTTATCCTAGGAAAATTAATTACCCATTTGACATTTTTAATGGCTTTCATTTACCCTAATTTTCGAAGCAGTTCTAAAATATCTGAAAACATAAAATGACAGGAAAAAAGTTGTTTTATTGAAAGTTGAACTAAGCTTCTTCGATTAGTACTTTTTAATGAATTTTAGATTTTTTTTCTTAATTAGTCAATAAATTTGTGTATCTTTATTAAACAAGATATCATATTATAACTGTATGAATTTCATAAGAATTTCATTTCAGTCTTTTAATTATTTTATATTAGTGTTACCGTAGTTTTTTTTTTCCAAATTATTTGAACTTTTACAATATTTTAATAATAATTTAAACATGTTTTTATTTAACATTTAGCTTGGCGCCATTTGGCAATGTTTTATCTTGTTTAATTTTTTATTCATGTCAACATACTCGTTTTGTAGGAGTTTGAATAACAGCCGTAACTGCCGGTTGCCGTTGAACTACTACCCTCAATGTCGGTCACCCGCCACTATCTTTTTTATCAAACCAAACAGTCCTTTAGTGGATCCCTAAAATAATTTAGGTGAAAGTGAGAAGTACATCCATCAGTACTGCGTTATTGTGAGCACAGTGCCATTACATATATAACAACTGCAAAGGAAATGAAATGTGAGTTAATTTCCGGATTAACATGCTTGTATCAAAATGTTTGCTTTGGTTTAAAAAAATTGAGAAATTTCCTGTTAGATTACCTGCATACAATTTAGTATATTCCTCTGTCGTTTTTTCAGGTTGAGGATAGAAGTTCGGCGGATGTTATCTTGTTTGATGGGCGCTGTGTAAATTAGCCAATTTCACGAAATTGTACATAGAGAACATGTCCCATGTTGGAACTTTTATTTGGTCCGGTGTAAGGATGCAAAGGAACATCCAGTCATAGGCAAAATCCCGCCTATACCGAGGTGTACCGAGTTTTTTGGAAAAACTCGGTACACCTCGGTATAGGCGGGATTTTGCCTACGACCGGATGTTCCTCTGCATCCGGTCGGAGGACGTAATAATTGTTTTTTCCCATGTTGATGTATTTTTGTATCATTAAATCAAACGCTTTTTTGAGGAGCAGTTCAGAATTTTTTGGGGTTGAAAATCGTATCTAAGATATAGGTGCTGTCAATTGACTGCGTGATGAAACGCTGAGGAAACCAGCATGATAAATCACTCTTTCTTATGATGCGGGGTAGATCTATATCAAATCATACTGCATTAGGTTAACATAAAATCAAATAAATTTAGGGGCTGTTTGGTTGCCTGAATTAGGAGGGTAAAGTAAAATAAATACATGTATTTACTAAATTTGGCTGTTTGGTTAATTTTGAGTGGAACAAAAGGAAAACCTCCGAAGCATTAGGCGTGTATTACGTGAGGCGGATCTCGCGACTTTGAAAGCCGCTCAAAATGAGCGGGTTTGAAATTCTTCGCTCGAGTACCAGCCCCGTGCCATCCCTCCTGCGAAGAGCGAAGTCGAACAGCCAAGAGGGAGCCAAAGTCGAATAGCAACGAAGGAAAGGAAGGAGAGATCCGTGCGGTCTGTCGCTCTCATGCGAATGAACGAAGTCTAACGACGACAAGGGAGCTGAGAAGCGACGGTGCAATCTATGCACCCCCTGCGAATCAACGAAAATGAACAGCAACGACGAAAAGGAGAAGATGAAAGGCGAACCCAGGTCGTCTTTCTGGGTTGGATGAGTTCGGACACTGAAATGGAAATCGGCTAGATCAATCAGTGGAAGCAGTGGTTCGGATTTGGAAGAGGTCTGGCAGCAGGAATTTTGTGGAGGAAAGAGACGAAGAGCAACCGATGACTTTCATTCGATCTGCATTTTATCAACATGAATGGTGAAATTGAGCAGGATTTATGCATGCAAAAGATGAAATAGGTCGGCACCATTGCAGGGAATGGGGCACTGCAGCGGGATTTCTGCCAGGTATTCAGAATGATTTCAGCATCTGCTTGCTTCAATTTTGAATATAAAGGAGTTTTCTTAGCATCCGTTAATAATGAATTGTGGCAAGATGGTAATATCCGTGGGAAAACTTATATGATGTATTTCAACAGCAATGAAAGCTGCAGGTGCAAGCAGAAGAGTTTTTCAGCTTCTTGATCGTGTGTCCTCTATGCCAAAATCTGGTGATATCTAAAGAGGTTCATGGAGATGACTATCTTATGCAGTTTGTGGTAGCACAGAAGCTTGAAGAACAAGTTCTGATGGGGTTGACCGGTTGAGAGAGGAGAATATTCACCTCATAAATAAAGACCATGTTGACTCATTCACTGAAATTGTAGTTGCTTGTTTGTCAAATGAAGAACCAAAAAGATGATGCTGGAGTTGTTAATTTCCTATCTGAAGTCCAGCCTTTTGTTTTTGCCAACACTAATTTAATTCTGTCAGGCTTGGGGGTGTTAGCTGTTGTGGTGCTTGCTATCGCATTTGTTTGTTTTAAATTTTTTAATTTATTGTTGTTTTTTTGTCTGTGTAACTATATAATCTTTGGGCTTTCGTTTGATAGATATGTTGCAAAAAAAGAATTGTTTTTGAAATCATGTAATTTATTCATATTAACAGTTTTTGCTTTCAATTAAGATTTTTTTTTTTTACATTATTTATATTTATTTATAAATCAATTTTATAGTATAAAGATTTTTTTTAAAAAAAATTGTTTTAAAAAGCAGCTTTAGCAAGTAATATTTTATCCCAAATAATGCTTAAGAGCCCTTCAATTCGAGTCTTATGAATGTAAAAAAAATATTGAAATTTGAAAATAGCGATGCGAGAGGTTTTGATGAAAATACTAACAAATGATTGCATGAGTATTCATGATTTCTATCAAATTATTTTAAAAAAAAATAACTTTTACTTTACTCTGGATCTATCTAACCAAACAAGCGAAATATTTCTTATGTGTTTATTTTGCAGACAACCAAACAATCTCAACGTATTCTAAATACAATACATTTACTTTACATCACATTTACTTTACACTGCATTTCTTTTTCAGGCAATCAAACAGCCCCTTAGTGGAATGCTAGTGTCGTGTGAACCCATATTCATTTGGTCCAAGGTGATAGGTGGCTTTTTGGTTGGTTAGGTAATTATATTTTGCTACAACAAAATCAAATCTTTATTATACTATATAGGTTTAGTTATATGATATCATTATCAAATATTTTTACTATCAAAAGTTTTTCTTTTTATTACCATGCAACATTCTTAATAACACTTTTTTTTTTACATAATAATTAGTTTTTTCATGCACAATTTAAATTAATTAATTCGGAATGATTTTATAATTTTTGTAATTTAATTAATTTATTTTCTATAAGAAAATAATCAATGTTAGTTTTACTATATGTTATATTCATTCTTATAAGAAATGAGATGCTCATTTTTTTCGTTAATCATAGCCTAGAGTGAAATATAATATGGCTTTATCTTTTTAATTAGTTGTTCCAAACTCAACCATTATGAATGTTATGAAAATCTTTTATTATTCTACTAAAATGTCCATTTAAATCTCCATTAAAATTTATTTTTGAAGAGGTGTCTTTTGTTTTAATTTTTTTGCTATTCTAAAATTTAAATTTTGAACATAAATTTTAATTTTGCGTTATAAATTATAATTTTATATCTAATTTTATTAATTTGTACAATGTTATAATTTTGTCTTATATATAATAACATCGTCATTTCTATTGTGACTTTTTTTAAATTTTGAACTATCGATCTCATTAGCCTTCTATGCAACTCATTTAGTTTTTCTAATGAATATAATATTTATCTTCTTATTTATCAAAACATCTATTAATTTCATACTTTGCCTATAAGAGAATATATATTTTAAGTTTATATCCTAATTATAGTATAATGGATTAGCTCATTTTATCACATCCATCCATGATGTGGGAATCCTTTCTTATTTAACATTATTTTCGAGCATTGATATAGTGGCTCTTACACACTTCTTATTGTATTCAAGTTATAAAATCAGTCTCTTTTATGGAACGCCCTAGCATGAACATACTATATTAAGGAATTCATGTCATAATTGTTCGACGAGTTTTATGTTGGCTATCGATCATCTAAAAAAACCCTCTATTTTTCTCATACATAGCTTGGGACCTGTCAATGGCAATGTTTGGTAAATAGAATTTGTTGTGGGCCTGTGGCCACTTAAACATGTAAATATTTGTTATGAAGTTTATGGCATGATGTTAAAAGGTTTAGTGTAATTTGGTGAGAAGAATGTTAATATTTGTTTAGCTTGGGCTAATTTTTAGAATGTCACTCTTCTACTTCATCAAAAATTATTAGTCTCATTAATGCTTTGTCTAAGAAGCTCTGGTTAGGATTTCCGCATTAATGATTACACTAATCTAGTGAGCTCTCACTCAACTTCATTGCAATATTTTAATAGTGAATTAAAGATAATGAGTTGATTTTGAACTAGTCATCCAATTGAGAGTTGATTATGAGATTAAAATATTAGTAAAACTTGAGCATAAGCTTGAGCTTATTATTGGGTTGATGGTCGAGCTCATCTTAGCTTTGACTTGTTCTCACTAAACTTGTTCATATCCTTAAATAAGGTTTAACAAATGCTTGTTGTAAAATGAGTTTGTTTAATTAGCTTGTTTTTATCAAAATACATAGAGAAATTAGAACAAATTCTAAGGATTAGACTTGATTTAGTTTTTAACGAATTTACTTTGAGCTAACAAATATCTTTGAAAGTTGGACAAGTTCATTTGGTGAATTGAGGGAATAAGTTTGATGAATTCAAGTAATCCTACGGATGAGTACTTAGGACTAGCATTGGGGACTTTAAGCTAGTTAGTGAGTTCATTATTTATTTTGGCGGCTTAATCTTAATGGCAAATTAGTCCTATTTATCTATAAATATTTATTGAGCATACTTCATTGAGATTGGTGAAACTTAGTTAACCCATCCTAGGCAATATTAAGATCCCATTTGGCATTGTTTATTGGCATTCAGTTTCTTAAAGTTCTAAATCTTGGATCCAAATTATCTATATATGACACTGAATTTTACTAAAAAAGTAATATTCTAGGCAAGAACTAGAGGATTGAGAGATATGAATGCTCAAAGTATGCTAAAACCTTAAAGTATGTTATGTTTTATTTATAGGAGGTTTAACGGGCTATAAGAAAGAGCACAAAAACTGTAAAAAGTATAATTTTATTTTAACCCATTATGATATGGTTGGTAGGCATCCATATGGATTTCTATTGCTAACATGGCCCTCTATTACAGAGTGAGTTTTCATGGGTAAATATATTGGGTGAGTTTTCCAAGTGTAGTAATTAGGATGAGTCTATGTGGGTAGTTCCTATAGATGTGGTGACGATTCCTTAAATGTAGCATATGGAACTTTACGTGTAAAGGACGAGTTTTCTTGGGTGATGGTTACCATGAATGGAGGATTAAACTAGCATAAGGGTAGTAATCATTAATACCTTGATGTGTGTGCACTTCTTGTAGCTTGATTAGAGGATGTTAGAAGTAGCCTAATAGCTTAGATTATGACCAGTGACCTCTGAAGACCAACTTTTGTTGAGATATTTATTTCTTGAGGGTTAGGGTAAATCTGTTCTAGTTCCTTGGTGCACGTGTCTGAAATGACTTCATCTTATCGATTGGGATGAGTCACACCCTACTAGCAACTGCCTTTAGTGAGCAATGTGGCTATTATGATTGAGTTTTTTTATTAGAATATACTAGATACCTATAAAATACTTATATGGTTCGGTGCGAGTATAAAATTTAAAATTCGGAAGAAAATATATTAGAAAACGATATAATTTTATTGTGGTGAAACTCATCTTTTAATATTATTTTAAGTCGCTTCTTAGAATAATACCTTTTTTTAATGAGATTTAGCTTTAATTTCTAAATTAATCAACTAATTAATTTTTTTGCTTATATGTTAATTTTGGTGTAGCACCTACATGAAGAATTTGATCCAATACCAAGATGCATACTAAGAGAGCCACTTTAAAAATAAATGAACCTATTATGCAGATCTAGATGAATACTAATTAAGAAATTTCATGTTATTTTTTTCTTGTTCTAAAAATTTTCATTTTATTTATTATTGTACTTATATTGTAGTTAATTTTGAGTGCACTATTGTGGACTTGAGTTTACCTATTTGATTATGTGTGACTATGAATGAGTGTGAGAGGAGAGCAACTGAGTGTGTGAGTGTTTTTATCGCGCCCCAAGATCTAATGGAATAATTAAATCCTAAACCTAATTATCAAAACCACAAAACAATACATATAAGAGTTGTCTAGTTAACTAAAAATAATAAATAGAAAGAGCACTCATCTAGATTCTCATTCCAAAATAAATCACGTGCAAATATTTCAAAGTAAATTGTTTCCTTACATCAAAAATATAAGAACCAGGTTACAAATTATCTTAATTGTATAACTTCTAATGTATCTTCTTCTACTGACCTCAACATTGCTATGCAATTTCCATTTCCTAAAATATTATAAACTAATAGAATAAGTATTCATAAACTCAGCAAGCAAACTCAAAGCCTATTACAAAAATCAATGCCACATTTGTAATGTACAAAAATAGTTTAGAATGATATAACTTTATATGAATAAAAATATAATTTTTTTAATTTAGGAACATATAAGAATTTACTTTTCAGTATTTATAACTTAAACTTGAATACTATAAATCCCTATATGTACTTTCATATGCTGTCACCTAGGTGTCAAAATATACTAACTAATAACACATAACGGTCAAAATATACTAACTAATAACACATAACACTTTCTTTGAATGACACATTGGAGTATACATATATAGGAACAACCAAGCGTGCTTTTTAATAAAACATTCTTTATATTTAAACTCATTTTTATTTAAAAGAATATTCCTTGTACTGAACTTATTATATTTAACAAAATTTACAACATATAAATTGTGATATGCATGTCTTGATGTTTGCTTGTAATTGAACATTTACTTATGCCTCCCACAGTCAACCTTCACTTGGTGAAGGAGATCATCCAAAATCTCCTTATAACTCCACTTCTACTTATGATTCACCTGAACCTTTCACACATACATAAAGAAGATGGGGTCAAAAATAACCTCCCACATCTGTACGTGTTTGTTGACCTCAATTTTAATTAAGGTTATTTAAACTCTAAATCCTTAAAACTCTATTTCAATCCTAATACCACATTGTTATAGTCTTATGTCTTCATCACATATATAGTAGGGACACAGCCCTATGTTCTTTACCTTGGTCTATCAAACCTTATCTTTCCTAACATTCTGCTTTGGATCTAATAACTAGTCTAGATGACCTAAGACAGAGATCCTTAAACTAAACTTAAACACCTCTGAACTAGTTTAAACCATAAATCATGCCATGGTTTGCCTAACAACCAAGGTAAAAACCCTAATATATATTATACTTGCTTATTAGACTACACCATGCATGAATCTAGCTTATTGACTTCAAACTATGTCCAAACTTTCACCATAGGTGATTCATA